CTCTGATTGGCTTACCATGAAATTTTACTCAACCTCAGCCAATCGTCAGCATTTATGCGCTTGTCTCGTGCACTGCCCACTAACCAAGGAAGAACAGTAAAAAAAAACCTTTGCCTCTTGGCTCAGAAATCTAGTTGGTCTCATGACAAAAACAGCTTCAATTATAGTAACGCGCCGCATTTTTTGGCAGTAAGGGTAACAGCGTTATTAAGATGGGAAGAGTAATCAATTAGATTACTCGTTACTGAAAAAAGTAACGCCGTTATTTATAACGCCGTTATTCCCATCACTGAATATTAAAGTTAATTGTTGTTGATATTTCTGGCTTTCAGTTCATTTAAAAAATCTTCATCCCTTTGTGCCCAGATTCAAAAGAAGAAGTGACGACATTGATTAAGTGTTTACACTATAAGAAGCCAAGAAAAATTTATTTGTGTGCCTCATTTCATACACAGGTAATTCCAAGTCCTTTGTATAGGTCAGTGAAATAACAAAATAAATTGCATTCAATAAAAGGAGTAAAGAGGCAGACTAAATGGAAACAGCATAAAAGTTAATGTACAAAAGGTTTAATGAAAAGCAATGGCATTTAAAAGGTAATTTTAATTTAAAAAAAATACAAATGTAGATTGCAACACGTATTCAGAAAACCATTTAACATTTAGTAGTGTAAGAGTACGGAAGGATGGATTGTTTTACTCAGACAGACTTTTAATTAAAGATTTAATTAAATGTTTGTGTACACATTACATGCACATACCAGCTCATGGACTTTGTGTGTGGGTGTGTTTGTGTGTGCCTATGAATGTACTAAACATCTATAGCAGAAACAGCCACTGTTTGTTCCATTGTTAGCAGACTTCAGGACTCAGTGACAGCTTGTCCTTCCTGCACAATAAACATAAATACACACAAATACAAATACACACTGAATGCTATGTTCACAGACTGACATACAACAACACAAAACATACAAATGCACCCCAACCTCCTGTCCACACACGCTCACTCAGCCATTTGGCCTAAAAGCTCTCTCACTGCAAAACAGAATCAAAAAGCTTTTATTGCTCCGTCATCTCTCCGCACAGATGTGCTGTACTTAAATTTTTATTTCCAACTTTTATTTTGTTTTTCTGTTGCCACCTGACACCGGATTTGTCACGTTTTTGGCCAGCAGACAACGTTCGGTATTTTATATCATTTTATCATCATTTAGTTTTGGTATGCACCAACTTTAGCTGTTAGGATCGAGAGACTTAGAGCAGTAGTGGTCGAGCGAGCTAGAGAGTGAATTAAATGAGGGAGCTACGTTAGCAAGGACAAAGCAGCGAATAAGAGAAATAAAGTTGTTTTTTCATTGTTTCACAGCCTTTACGTTGTGAAGTCTCAAAGTGCCGTTGGAAATTGGAACTCTAAATATTCCCCAGGTAGTTACTGACTTTGTCTCTCCGTCATTTGTTGCTGTGCAGGTAGCATACATCAGAGCTTTGTTAATGAGGTTAAATCAGTGAGACTGAACAGTGAAGTTGCAAGCCAAAACCTTAAAACCATGGTAAGATAATTATTAGTTCATATGAACATATATATGAAAAAATATATGGCCTGGATGGGCAACCTCATAGCTCAGTGAGGTGTGTACTATTTTAATGGCAAGTCGTGGAGCTCAATCCAACCTAGGATTTAAAACATCTCTTCCTGGTAGCCACATACTTTCTGATGCCATCCATCTTATACTTCTATGTTTTGAGCTCTTCACCCTGTCCCCTGGATTAAATCGAACCCATTGGAAAAAAGACTGACTGACTCCTTTATGATCTCTGATGATTCATTTTCAGTACTTAAAACACTTTCTGTTCACAACTGTATCTTGATACAATAGTAACAAGCTGTTTGCCACATTGTCCATGAACTGAAACCAATAGAGTCTAAAAAGTAATCAATAATGTTATTTGTGGGGCACCTGGATAGCTCACCTGGTAGAGCTGGCGCCCCATATGCTCCTTGCTGCCCCTCTCGCGCTCCCTCCTTTCCTGTCACTCTTCAGCTGTCTCTATCAATTAAAGGCAATTCAAAAAATATTTAAATTATTAAAATGTAAAGTATGTATGAATCGTAGGCGATGACCCTAAAACGCAAAAACATGAGATAAATGATGATGAAATTTCTAAAACACCAAATAAGGGGAAGACAGGTATCAGGTACAGCTTGATTATACAAATCAAAACCAGTTTTTATTTCCTGTTTTCCTGCAAAGTCTATTACTTTCACTTACTACATGCAGGATGTTAATGCGTACAGCTGACATCACAGGTAAAGCACAACCTAAGTGATCATGCATCACTTATGAAAAGTGAAACTAACTGAAACGTGATTACACAAGATAAAAGACAACCACACAGACTGTGAAATTCCACACAGCAGCTTCTGTGTAGGCGAGAGCTCAGACATGAATACAGATGAGGACACTCCAGTCATTCAATGAACAAGCCTTTTTTTTAATATTCATAGCTTTTAATGAAATGCATACACGCAGATTTGGGCTATAACATGGCTCCATTTCTGAAGATTGATTATCATTATATAATTATGTCATCTCAATACACACTGCAGCTGAATGCTCTTAATATGAACCACAGTTAAATATTGTAATTTAATAATAAAGTATATGTTTGACATTGTGTCCGGCTCAAGAGTGGCACATATTAGCATAATTTTCAATTATAGAGTTACAAATGCAGAGACGTCCTCGATTATGGTCATTAACCAGTGATTAATCAGCTACATCAGATATTTTATTGGCCTCTACCATAGGAACATGTTAAATTAAGGCAAAGACAAGCATGATGAAGCATAGCAGTGTATTCATTAATAGTCAAGGAAATAGAGGTTAATAGCAGTTAGAAGAAAAAGGGTATACCAAATAAATCATTTTCAGTACATTCTCTAGGGACAGGAATGTCAGTCGGTCCACAACTATTGGATGGATTTCCATCATGGGATTCATGGATTTGTACTAATTAGCAAATATCCAAAATGATCACACTAACACACTGAACAAAGATAATGAACACGGTAAACATACCTGCTAAAAGTGTGAGCACACTGATATTAGCATTAAGCTAAAAGCACTACAAGTTCACTAGAAGACGTTTAGTCTTGTTTTGACGCTATTAAATGTGTCTGGTCAGATCGTTTTTGGGTTTTTTTTAAGTTATTTTTTTGGCCTTATTTTATAGAGACAGCTGTAGAGAGACAGGAAA